CGGGCTAGACAGTATCTTAGTTTTTTTAAATATACCCGGGCTGGGCCCGAAATTTTAAAAAAAAACACCCAAGCCGGGCCTGAAAATTTTATTTAAAAAAAAGCCGAGTCGGGCCAAAAATTTTTTTTAAAAAAGCATTAGTTTACTAATGGGAAGAGTTTATAAACCCTTTTAATACATTGGGAATTTAATCTAAAATGTGTTTGAAATAATGCAGAGCATCCATAGCATTTTTTGGGACTATATGAACCATTGTTAATCTTATAAACATAGTTATTCAGCTAGTAAGACCATAAGATACTTTAACATCTTCATAATAAAAATCTAACAAATTTTTTTTTCTATCACCATCTGAAAAAGGTTGGGAAGGCTTTTGTGGAAGTAATATTTGCATATTAGTAAGTGCTGCATGATGAATTAAAAATTCATATATTTGGGTTATAAATGTATCTGTATTTAAGATATACTCTTCTACTTATCTTATATTAATGTTATGAGCTTGCCTTGCTACAAGTCGAAGGAGACAAATATTAAACACGTATAGCTCTGATTTTGACTCAACAATAAAATATGAAACTCTCCCTATTCCTTGAGTTCTGAGAAAATGCTCTTTACTATTCTCATCTTCTTAATCAAGTCAATGTCATGTTTTTGAAAAGTAATACTTAAAATAGTTGTATAATTAAATAATACATTCTAATGAGAAATAAAATTTGGAATAAGCATTGAATCCAATAATTTTATTGCTTCTGAGGAAATCTTTCTTTCAGGCTATTGTGATATTTCAGTAAGCAAATAATTGACTCTTCTAACTCCTTAAAAGCTGTTAATGCTTGATGGCAGAGACTCTATCTCGTTGGACAAGGTTGCAATTTTTTTTTCCCTGTTGGACAAGAAGTTTCAGAAATAATAATTATTTGACTAGAAATTTGAAAATGGTAGATAAATATTACGCCACTAAAAATTTGAAAATAATAAGTAAATATTACGCCGGAAAACTTGAAATCGAAAATTGATAAAATAACTTAGTAGGTAAATGTGATAATAAATGTAATTAAATATATATTTAATGTGTAACAAATATAAATTAATATAAACAATAATATTTTTGAAAAATATATCCGGCATCCAGTGGCGTAGGCATGAAGGGGGGGGGGGGGGAGGGGGTTCAACCCCCCCCCCCCATTTTATTTTTTTAATTTTAATTTAATAAATTCTTAATAAACGCTTGATTTTTATGTTTTAAATTTATTATAAATAATAATAGATATACACATTTGATTATTTTTATATTTATTAGTTTGCAGCTATTTCACACCACCCAAAAAAAGGAAGTTATTTATTAAAACGTATCATGATATTGACATAAAAGAAAAACTAAAGATTTTGTCCGACCAGATTCATCGAAAGACAAGAGTTGGTGAAACTCTTTATTGAAATATATGATGTTGTCTTTGCAGCACTAGAATTTTATATATCAAGCAAGGAAAAAGATTTAGCAGATGCCAAAAATCTTTTGCAGGCTATTATTAAGCCACAGTTTTTAATTTCAATTCAATATGTTTATTTTTTATTTAATTATACATATGATTTTAGCAAAATGCTACAAAAAATTGATTTGGATTTAAGGGAGATTATGAATAGAGCAAAGATATTGTTGAAATATCAACAAATATCATAGAGAATGTGGATGAAAAATTTCATGAAATATATGAAAAAGTAAAGGAGATTGCTAATATGTTTGGAATTGAAATTTTTAAACCTAGAGTAGTCTCTAGACAATCCAATCGATCAAATATTGATGCATCTACGATTGAGGATTTTTATAAAATAAACATTTTTATTCCCCTTATTGATACATTTTTATTTTAATTAAAAGAAAGATTTATTAGTCATAATTTTATTTTCTTTTGCCGGTTGAGTCTAAATTGTTGATTACACTTGAAACACGAGAGGATATTAAAAAAATCTCAGAGTTTTATGCTGATGATTTAGTAGGTTCATATGATAAGTTACTTTGTGTCGAATTTTGGTATAAAAATCTTGACAGAATAGGGTATTCTTTGAGACCAAAAATGCTCTGTAGGCCCTTTCCATGTGCATTTGCATTTTAGATTCCTTGCCTAATATCAAAACATTATTAATTTTAACTACCTTGCCAATTAGTACCTGCATTAATGAAAGGTCTTTTTCAACTTTAAAAAGGTTAAAAACCTATTTAAGAAACACAACCGGTGAAAAACGTTTAAATGGATTAGCCCTATTGAATATTAACAAGGAGATTATTTTAGATAAAAAATTGATTCTAGATGAATTAGAAAAATCTCTGAGAAAAGTAGATCTCTCTTTTTAAATTCAAATCAAAAAATAGCAATAAGATTTTATTAGTTTTAATATATAATCAACTTTTTTTTGTAAAAAAAGTATTATTTATAAGATAATATCACCATATTTTTTTAAATACCATTATTTGCATAAGAATTACACATATTTTATATAATTATAAAAATTACTTTTTTTAAAATAGAGTCTTTATACATTATAATTTTTAATATTAAAATCTGTATTATATAAAATATCAACATTTTGAAAATATTTTAATTAATAAAAATATATATATGATTAAATAAAGGAATGTAAAATATATAATAAAATAGCCTAAAATTTTGTTATATGAAAATATAAAACAATTTTAACAAATCCCAAAATATAAGCAATTAAGTGTTCAAAAAAATAAAAGGTTTGGGGGCGAAGCCCCCAAAAATTTTTTAAAACCCCTCCCCCCATGATAAAATCCTGGCTACGCCACTGCCGGCATCTGCATTTTTTGCCTTTGGGGGGGGGGGAAGAATTGCCCCCCCCCCCACTCCGCTGCGTACGCCAATGACTAAATAATATTATGTATTATATTACAATTGTTTAATTGAAATAGCCTTAAATATAAATGGTGTAAAAAAAATAGTACAATATTTCAAACAATCTACAGCTAATAACAAACTAAGCCACACCCTTAAGCAAGATGTAATAGCGAGAAAACGATGGAACTCATGATACAGAGTTTCTTAAAATCATATTCTGAAATACAGGTGTACTTGTTTAGCAAGCAAGAATTAAATAGATTAGCCACAAATGATATCAGCATCATACGCGAGTTAGATAAATATTTATCAATATTTAAAGAATCCTCGGATAATCTGAGAGCAGATTCTCGTCCCACAATAAATGAAGTTTGTCTATGGAAACAAAAATTAATAAAATTTTGTTAACCTTCTGAAAGTGATACAATAATAATCAAAACCTTAAAATATAGAACAAGATTTCTTTTAAAAGATTATTATGCAGCCACTACATAGGTAGGCTTAATTCTAGATCCGAATTTCAAAAGACTTATTTTTAATAAAATAAGAAAATGATATATATAAAACAATCTTAAAAATGTTAAATGATATAAAATTAAATTTTATGCATATGTCAATGCCAACTATCATTTATAACTCTAACTTATCCTAAACTCATAAAAAACCGTGTAATCTAAATTGTCAATACCAACTATCACTTTCCTAATTCATCCTACACTCAAAGACAGTATATTCTAAATAAAAAATTTAGAGAATTTCTAGATGATTCTGATGAAGCAGCAACATCCGCGATGAAAGCTGTGAGGATGAACTTAAAAAATTCATATAAGATAAATAACAAGACAATATTTTGAAGTTTTGGAAGCAGGAATATTCATTTCCTTTTTTGAGAAAATTATAGAGTAAAATTATGTCAGCTGCAAGTTCGGCTTCTAGTGAAAGGCTATTTTTTGTATCCAATCTCTTATTATAGGAAAAGCGTACACAATTGAAATAAAAAAAGATGGACATTCTTCTTTTTCTAAATAAATTTCGATTTATAGATTATTTATTTTTTGTTATTAATATGGATTATGAAATTAGAGAAATAAATAGAATGAATTCAAAAAAGTGTAAAATTATAGCAATAGTTTTGAAAAATTTAAAAACACCGTGAATTTTCGGGCGTGAATCAAAATATTGCTTGTCGTGAGCGGGCGGGTCGGGTCGAAAATTTTTTAGTGGTAAGCGTGAATTTTTTTTATTGCCACCATTAGGCCCACGCCCACCTCTACTAGAAACTACTTTCTTTCTCATATATTTCATGAAATCTTTCATTCACATTTCTCTCTAATATTTATTAATAAAATATTATTTGCTCTATTCATAACCTCCCTTAAATCCAAATCAATTTTTTGTAGCATTTTGCTAAAATCATATGTATTATTAAATAAAAAGGAAACACATTAAATTATATTAAAAATGGTGACTTAATAATAGTCTGCAAAAGATTCTCAGCATCTGCTGGAGCTTTTTCTTTGCTTGATATATAAAATTCAAGTGCTGCAAATACAACGTCATATAATTTATTTTAAAAAATATAAAAATGATCAAATACTGTAGATCAATCATTATTTATAATAAATTAAAAATATAAAAATAATTTTTTTTTAAATTTCAAGTATTTATTATCAATTTAGTAAATTTAATTAAGAAAATTTTTTTCATGACTTCCAATTCCCTCCCCCATGCTTACGCCACTTCTTTCTTTCTACCCACCCTTACCACTCGTTATATACCAAAATTTCAATATATTTTTATCGAAGGATAAACAACTTTGATTTATTCGTAATCATACTATTTCTAGCCTTTTTGATGGATATTACGACTCAATAATAGAAAATATTCTTTGTACAAGCTCCTCACTCCCCACACTATCCATTTTATTGTAAATACGGATTTTAAAATTAAAAAATATATAATCCAGAATTGTTAAAGTATATACACAGATATACAGAAATGTATTTAATGCTAAATATCTATTGTATCTTATCTAAATACATTTATATAAGATATATCTTTATCTAGATACATTTTAAGAGTGTATCTAGAGATATTTATAGGAAATATATAGGTATGAAAAGTTCTAATATAAATATAAAGGCAATCCCTCCCTCATTGATAGCTCAAAGGAGTACTCCGAAAGTGATTGGACCCAATGCTCGGGTGCTGACGATAATACTTTGGAAATTTATCCCAAGATCAAGACCCTGAGCGAGCGAGTTGCTTGGAATTTCCTAAATAACGCTAGTTCGGAAGCGATATTAGTCGACGTTGATGCGTTAACGAACGGGGAGAGTAATGGGCAAGAGGCTGTTTTTAACGAATCGGCTAAAGTTTGTCGTAAAGATGAAGAGCTAGAAGGCAAAAAAAGTCCAAGGAGAGAAGGAAAAGATGAGGAAATTGTTGAAGGATTATCGGGTATAAAATTGCTATTTTAATTTAGTGTTCCAAGAGTTTATTATTTACTTAATTTTTAAAAATAAAGAAATTAAGAAGTGGGTTGGACACTGTTTATTTTTCTTAATTTAAAGAGGTCAGGTCAATAATATCCTTTTCACTAGTTTGTTAAACGGCTCGCTATGAGCCGATTTTTAAAAACGGCTATCTCAATATTTTTATCCAGAAAAATAATACGCAAGCCTGAAGATTTAGTTCATAGAATGAACAATGGTCTAGTTAGGCAATATTTTTTTTGGCTAAAATATTGAGTTAGCCATCTTTAAAAATCTGCTAAAATCAAACCGTTTGATAACACTACTTTTCGCATATGATTTTGAAATAATAAAATTCAAGGTATTTTTGAAAATGCTCATTTTAGATCCAAATGAATAAAAAAACTACACAGATATTAATATATTACGTTCGGCGTCAGTTAGATTATTAGAGAGATAGAAATAATAATTTATTTGATATTTTTTTATAAATTGTAAAAAAGAAGAAAATACGGATGTAATTTACGGTAAACCAATATATTCTAAAAAAGAGGACGATTATAAATTCGAATTAGTCGTAATGAACCCAGTCGTAGTGTTGGGTCCCTCTGTCACAGATTCATACACCGGAGCCGGTTTTGAGGTTAATATAAATTTTCTCTCATCTACTATATTAATTTCGTTACCTGGTTAACTAATCCTATATTTAAAAGTCTCTATGGGATTTGAATGCCATTGAACTGGTTCTTCAGTCATGGAAATCTCTATTTTTTAAAAGGTATGCCTTCGTTATGAATTATTTTAGATTACTTTACATAATACGATTGTTTTGTCCATCTCTTTACATATTATTTACTCAGTAGAGTTTTTACAATTCTAGATGAATGACATGGGCCAAGTTAACTCAGTTTAGCCATGCCTTCTACAAATCTAACTTTAACAAATTAATCTATAATTACAGTGCTAGAAAATTGAGTTATTGAGCCAAGGGTTGTGTTTTATATAAAATATTAAAAAATACAAACATATCATTTTGGGTTTTTAATGCAAAAAAAAACGCTTACCAATTACCATTTATATTTTATCTGTATTAAAACGGAAACGTTTAAATTTGTAAGCACTTATGTTTGTTTAAATATTTTTTCTTTTGATTGCCATTTTAAAATTTTTTAAAATACAAATAATAAGTAAAGTTTTAAAAAGTATTTTAAAGAAAATGATTATAATTTAGAAAATAAATTTTTTAAAAATATTCCTCATCGTAGTTAATGAAAAAGCTAATGAGAAGAGATATTTCGGCCATACCGAAGATAAATTTTCTGATTATTGATGTCAGGGACGTTGCATTGGCTCATTACAAAGGCATGATAACTCCACAAGCTTCTGGTAATGCATTTTATATAATACCATTATATTTTTTCAAATTTACTAAATATATATTCTAAACAATTGTAATATTTTTTGAACAAACTTAAAAAATGTATTCTACTTATTATTCTCACACTTATTAAATGCAGTCTACGTTTATTATATTTTATAATTAATCTTCACAACATAAATCTACAACTCTAAATATTTCTCAGATTTTTTAACTATCAGAGGCCTGCAGGGATTTTAAAATAATAAATTGTATCAAATAATTATCGAAAATTATATAATAGAGCGTTTAATATTTATTTACTGCTCAAATTTCAATTTCTTTTTGATAATATTATAAGGAAAATCTTTTATTAAAATTTAAAAATAGACAATTATTATTAGAATAGAAGTATTAATCTTAATAAAAATATTTTAGATTTTTTAATGTTCATTGTGTATATTAGGCCAACGATTTTTACTCTGCAACCGAGGCATATGGCTCAAGGAGATAGCCAATGTTATCAATAAAGAATTCAAGAGTAAAGGGTACACAGTGCCCACTTTGCAATGCCCTTCTTTTATGGCTAGCCTGTTGAAAGGATTCTTCGATAAGACACTCAAGCATTATTTACCTTTTGTGGGCAAAGAAATACATTGTTCTAATCATAATGTAAGTTTTTAATATAAACAAATAAAATATTTTATGGGTTTAAATTAGGGCTGTGTCGATCCACATATTTTTCACCGATCCGATATTGGTTCAAACCCGATCCGATATCTATACTGATTTTTCACCACCCCCTTTTGAACTAAATGTAATTAAGAAATCAATATTTTTTATGCAAAAAATCGAATTAATGAATCTTTCATTATTCCTCCTCGTGAAATTAGAATTACGCAGATAACGCATTTTGCAAAATTATCTTTGTCTTTTGTAAAATATTTTCATAATTAAGAGATACCATATTTAAAAAAATTCTTTTATTAAGGTATAAGTAATAAAATTGGCGTTATCCTTTAAGAAGATTAAAAATAAATAAAACATTGGGTTTTTCTTTCTATTTTTATAAAAAAAAAAATTAAAATACCATAAATCTATTTTAAAAATAAAAAAATTTAGGGAGTTTTGTGCATTTGCATTGTTTAAAAAAAATATTTAGAAAATATTATAAGGTAAAATAAATATGCATAACATAAAATAACAAAAAAAAGATCGGATCGTTTTTACAGGTATCGGCTAGATCCGATTTTTTGGAAAAGGCTAAATATCAGTGCCGATCCGATATTTAATAGGCATAGTCCTAGTTTAATTACAGGGTTTTCCCATTCAAAGAAGGAATAATCGCGAAAAAAGGAAAAGTTTCGATCATAAAAGAAATATTCATATTCAAAAAAGGAACGTTTTATCGTTTTTAAAAATTTACTTTTTTTGTTGCCCATTATAATAAACCCGAAATGTCCTTTTTTGCCATTTTTGGTTTTTTAATATCTCTAATTTTATGTCATTATCTTTAATCTATTTCTGCCACCTTTTCCTAATTTTTTTTTTTAAAAAAAAATAATTTCCTTCAATTTTCCATTTTTTTAAATTTTAAACATACTTTTTTATCTTGAAAATTTCTATTTATTGTTTATCATATTATTTTCTTGAAAGTAAGAATTTATTTTTAAAAAACAAAAAAGAATAAGAAAAAAATGAATTAGAAAGATAAAAATTTTAAAATGACATTTCAGGACCATTAAGATAATAATAGACTTAAATTATAACACGATTTACCTTTTTTTGAATGAGAATTTTCGTTTTTAAAATGGGAAACACTGCTATTTATGAAATAGAAAATAAGTTCCCAAATATCGATCAAAAAATTTCCATTTATCAATTTACAAACATAAAAAATTTAAAACATATTTATTTTTTCTCCCTCTAAATATCCCAAAGCGAATTGTAAAAATTCTCTCCAAAATCTATCGATGTGAAGTGAACTCATTAAATACCTCTTTAATCTCTATAACGCAAATATTTACCCTATTTCATAAGACTTATGAAATATTTAATAAATTTGAGGCGATAAACACCTGCCTCATATTTTTTTTATTATATAGAATTTCTTAAATGAAATATGTGGTAATTTCTTTCTTTTTAAATTTTTGTTTTGTTATATTATTTGTTTTACTCTCTTCTTTTTCGTTCATTTTTAGTCATTTCTTTTCAATCACCCAACATCATTTGATCATATTTAGAAATTATATTTAAATAGTTTAAAAAATTGTTAGAATTTGAGCTTAAAGGGAGGGTGCTAATCAAGTTTTATATTTTTCGATTCGCATACACAAAAAAAATATATAGATGAGAGAAATCTTGCAAATCATACCTAGGGAACTACACCAGACTATAGTGGATATGGCACAAGACTTGATAGACAATGGACAAGTCAGTTTGACACAGATTGCTAGTGTTAACGGGGCTCATCTTAACGAAGCGGATTCCATCATTATGAATGGGAATAATACGGCTAATGTTAATACAACCACCAGTTATTCTCTTTTCGGAGCACTAACCAAAAGAACAGATACTAAAAGTTTAAAAAAAAACAAAGATTGTTTTAAGCTTTAATTGGTAAGTTACAATTTCTAGTCTCTGTAAATATTTCTAAAAAATTAACCAAAAATATTTATTTTTTGTCAATTTATTACAAGAATGGTCAATATAGGTCGGAAAGGATATATATGTGCTTAATTTTATTCCTTTATTAAATAAATATTTGGTTTTTCCTAACTTGCCTTAATTTCAGCTAAATGCTTAAATTCTAATTTTTAGTATTTTAAAAGTAAGATTTAATAAAAATATATTAAATTAGTATTATATCTTCAATGGTAGAATATTGATAGCGACTGGACAGTATAATCAAATTTTATTCACCTAGAGTTTATTTTTTTGTGCTGAAACTTTTTATTTATTAATTTCACAGATTAAAAAATTGTAAAATTTTTTTTTGGTTTATTCTTTTTTATAAAATAAATACGTTATTGGTCAGATCTAAAGGGTAAAGATCTGGACCTGTACCAAATCTTTGACCTAGCATATCTCCACTATTGAAAAGTATAAAAATCAGCACCTATATAATGGTAAAACTATACTTTAATATATTTTTCTTACAAAAAAATAACAGTAACACCTATTATTCTTCTTTTATTGCCTTTTCCAAGTTTACCCGGGTAAGCATTTTTTCCGATTCTCTTTCTCCATTTTCCGAGGTCGGTCAAACTTAGCATTTTCATGTCATTATCTATCACCTTTACCCGGCTTATTCTCGCCCTCTGGGTCTTGTTACCTTCACTTTTAACCAACAGCTCTATTCAATCGTTCTTCGTATTCCATTCAACATGTCCAAGTTATCCCAGCCTATTTATTCACACGGCATCACCTAGCTTCATCTATTCTCTAATTTATTTTCTTGTTTTACTCTCTCAGATATACCCCATTTATACATCTACCCATTTTCATCTCCTTTCTTTCTAATTTGATTGCTTGTGTTGTCTTAATTACTCCTATCTCCGCCAGTTCATATAATTTTATCAGGCAGCTTGTATAAATTTTTCCCTTCAAAGCTAGATGGACATTTTTATCCTTTAAAATTGAAGATACTAAATTTCTAATATGCATATTTTATTCTTGTTACCACCGCTACTGCACTTTGTTGCATTTCTGATATCAAAACGAGTCTTATTAACATCATCTTGCACCCTTTTTCTATACTTTTTACAATTACCTGCCTTTTGCAGATTTCCTAATATACCAATATTCCTACTGTGTGAACCCATTTAGAAGAGCAAGTTACAATTAATGGTTTTTCTAGCAATCTTATCTATGTATTTTATTATTCCGTTTTACTTTTCGCTATCAGTACCAGTTTTTCGGCATATCCCATTAAAGATCTTTGTCATCTCTTCATTACTATACAGATTACTGATGTAGCCCTACCTTTATTATCATATATTCGAACTATTCTCCAAGACAGTTACAAGCCATTCATACACACCCTACTTTCTCAGGGCTCGCTTTGTGACCTCTCGGTACTTGGGTAAAATGTCTTCTCCAGCTCAATAAATTTACAGTATAGCAACTTTCCCATTGATATATTTCTTGCATTTGCTTCACTATAAAAATAATGTCCATACTACCTTTCCCAGGTTTAAAGCCGACATGCATATTTTTCATTTGATCTTTAATTCTCCTCTATCATATTTGAAGACATTCATTACCTGATACAAAAGTTTAATTACCCTCTATGACCCATAATCTCGAGGATTAATTATTATTTTCTTTGAAATAAATATAAATTGATTCATTATAATTCACACATTTATTGTTTATTCCATAATACATTTTTATAACATAATACGCACAGACACAACTACGGAAAGCAATAATAACAATTGATAATGATTATATATATCACAGTGATAGGTAGCTACTAGCTAGCATTTATTAGCTATATATATTATTAATATATATATAATCATTAAATTAATGAATATAGTAATTCATAATGTAATACATTATATTCAGACATATTTTTCAGTATAATTTCTAATATGCTGCACTTTGTATATCGGTATTTCACACTTTTCGGCAGTTATCAGGTACAATATCTGCAAGGATAATCAAGTTACATGAGTCAATCGTTCCCTAGATCTTCAGATGCCTCAAACATTTCTGTCACCTTTAATTATCTTCATCTTTTTTTAAAATCTTTTCTAATTTCAACTTTACCAAATCCACAGCAAGGCCCTTCCACATTTGCATATCATTTTTCTATTTATTTAATATCCTTTTTATACACTCTCGAAAGAAAGTTAAACTTATTGATTTCATTACTATCAATCAATCACGATTTTTCCCTCAGCATTTTTGAAACATTTATAAATTTTTTTTAAATAAATAGAGTCACTCAAAAATTTTGCAAAAAATACTAATGGGGATGTCGAAAGTTCTCTTAAATTATTGAAAGATACTAGTGGTTCCACCAATCAAGCTCTGAAAACGGACGAAAATGGTTTTTAATTTTTTTCCCGGGAGCATAAGAGAATTAAAAAAAAAAGGAAAGAAAGTTTTAGTTAGAAATTATTGGACTAAGAATCATTATAATATTTGAAGAAAAATAGTATAAAGAGAAAGATATGGATACATATAATATTTAGCTCTACTGTAACTATCAGAGGTGTTGCAAAATATTATTGTAAAGATATATTTAGACGTAGATTTACATATCTAAATATTTTAATAAGTGGTAACAATTAATTAATTTTATTATTAAAGTTTATGTTATTGTCATTACATAACATTTAAGCAAAATATTCTACAATCAGAAAAGGCATAATTAAATATGTAATAGGATAATGTATATTGTATCATTATTATAAATATATGGGTACGTTAGTTTTTATTCAAGTTGAAAAATTATTTAAAATCTATATTAAAAAAACACAATCAATTAGATCAACTTTTCGACACTAATTTTGATCTCTCACAAACTTCTCAAATTAATAGAGACGCGATGGAAGCAGATAAATCTAACACGATCGATAAATCCATTAGTAAACCTTTAAATAAATTACATCACAGCATGAGCATGAGCCGTGTAAAGCTCTTCGGAAAAGGGTGGCAATCGCTCTTGCATAATAGTAACACTTCGTCCAAGTTGACCACCAACAAGGAAGAAATGAAAAGTTCCAATTCTAACCCTGGTTCTAACAGCAATACCTTACAATTAGATGGAAATAAGGATTCTTCAGAACTCGTCAAAGATGATCATCAACAGACTCCAAATATCACCACAGTTAAGAGTAATAGTTTGGAAGGTGCCGGAAGTAACAAGGATTCGAGAGAAATTTCTTCCAATAAAAAGGGGGCTGGAGGTAACAAAGTTGCCAAAAAAAAGTGGAGTTTGCATTATCATCATAATTATCTATCTACCAAAAGGAACAATCAAAATAATATGGCTACTAATTCTAACGAAAAAAATATGGACGATGGAAAGGAAGTTTCTAAGGAACCCTCTAACACCGATAATCCCGGCAAAGTTTCTAGCAATGAAGCAAATACCGTTAATCCCACTGGAGGAGGTGGTATATTGGGATTGAGTGGTATGGCTAAATGCTTTCCTCATTACTTCAAATCTTTGGGTAAAAAATATAAACTTATTATGAATTGTGGTAGACAGGGGTTATTTTATGCAGAATATTATTTAGTGTTAATTAAAATTTTGATTTAATCTAAAATATTGCTCAATTTTTATATCAGTAAAATATATCCCTTTCTAGTTTTAGATATCTTATCATTTACAATTTTTTACCTTTTTTTAATGTTATGAATTCTTTCTATTCAATTCCCTCTACGACAAACATTATGACTGAGTTAAACTTTACAAAAAATTTATTTAAAACATCATTTATCTATAAATAGAATGGAAAATGTTATTTTAATTCAAGTTTCGATGTTCATTTATATTATTATAGGTAGTTTATTTTGGAATTTCCAATAATGTACTTCTGACAAGTTATAAAATTATAAGCTTATCATTTTGTGAGATTATTCTTTGAATCAGTTACTATGATCTCTGGAGGGGAATTATGTTTAAACCACATCTAATTAGTTCTCTTTTATACTTTTAAAATTGCATAGTGTTCTTTTTCAGATATATGACCAATATTATTTAATTAAGTTTACAGGGTAAGATATTATTTTTTTAATAAAAAATTTGAAAAATATATTTTTGTATATTACTTACAAAATAAATTGAATCTTTTATATTATCAGAGACCTGCGGAGGTACCTTTGCACGGCCCAGCCGGGTTTTATATTTACGGTGTATAATAAAATTATACCTATACGGCATTTCGTAAAATGAGTAAGTTTAAATTACCACAATTTCTATTCGACTGGTCGATGGTAATTCGCTTATTTCCTGTTCCTCGTGTAATTTATATAAGTATCAGTCATTTTGTACTATCTCCCTGTGAACATATGCAATTGCTTGAATTTGGGACAGCGAACAGAGGCATAATAATGCTCATCTAAATAAATTTTTCCCTTAAAAAGTTTATTATTTAATTGAATATCTCCTAAAATAATGATTATTTGAATGGTATTTTATTAAAAAAAATTTTTAAGAATCTAAAAAATGAAAATTGGAAGATATGATAAGTGAATTAATGTGATATATAATTCTATGATACACAATTTTTAATTTAATTTTTATAAATAATAATGGCGATTTAAAATATTCGGCAAGCCCAGGGTATTTAAAATTTTTTACGGCTTAGAATTGGGTCTGCAGGTCTGTATATTATATGACAAAACAATAGTAGTCAATTATATTTGATTTCTATATGTATGCATAAACATGTAAAAACTTCATAATTATTTTAAAAATTTTACAAAAATATAGTATATTATTTAAATGTTCATTTTGATATATTTTGATCTTTCATTTGTTTATTACTTATTATGTATATAGATTAATGTTATTACTTATTATATAAAAGTGATTTAACAATAAAAATATTTTATATACTTTTAGAATTGCAATTGAATTGAATATAAACTATAACTCATCATTATAATATATTTAAATGACATAAGATATTGTATAAATTATAAATGTTATTCTAATAAATAGTATATTAAAATTAAAACCATTGGTATCTTTACATGATACAAAATTAGATGATATCGGATCGGTAATCGGCCGATATCAATTTAATATCGGATCGGCCTCCAAAAAGTGGTATCGGTACACCCCTAGAAATAATAATTGAATACTATTGTTTTGTCATATAATAATAAGGATTATCATTTCTTTTGTAAGTAATATACAAAAATAACATCTTACCCTGTAAAGAAAAATTAGATACCATATGATATATAAATTAATTATTCCTAATGTGATGTTAAAATTACATTTTTTTTAAAACACACTATTTGGGATTTCAAAAGTCATGGACGACAAATGCGGCAATTCCGGCAAAAGTAATCAGCAATCCAAAGGCGATAACCAAGACAATTCCGCCACCAGCTCTAAATCTAACACATTAGAACAACCTTCCGAAACTAACATCTTCCAAAGGACGAATAATATTAACAATAACGCGAACTTCATAACTTACATCGATTCCCATAGCTTGAATTCTCAAAATAATAACAATTCCAATCATCCTAACCTTCCCAATTTAGGGAATATAAGCAAGAAAGGACTGGGTTCAGGAGGCCATACAAGTCCGCCTCCAGTCGTTTTGATATCTTCTAGACCTATAACACCCGAGAGTGAGAAGGTACTTTCAGCCAATCAATACCAATCTCCCATAAATCAAAATTACGGGCTGAGCGATGTAAAGATGCTATTGTTTGAAGGTGACGAATTATTATTTTAAATTTGAGATAATTTATATTTCTCAATTGCCAAAATATTTTTTAAAACAATTCTCTTTTCCATTGGAATGCATTAAATTTCTGTAAAATTATAAAAAATTTAATTATCTTAAATAGGAAACTCCAATGCTATGGCTACCGATATAGTTAGAGGAGCGGTACTTTACGGAATGAATCCATACAATCAAAGTTTAAAGATAATATATAATATAATAAGCCAAATAAAATTAATTACTCTATTTTTACCGATATGGCAAACTTGATGGTCATCGCTTGCAGGGAACTCCTAGCTTTTCTTATATCATAATAGTGTAGATACTAATAAATAACGCCTATGAGTGATAATTATTTTTTAAATATCTAGATATATTTTTCATATAAAAAAAATACTTTATTAAAGCCGACTCTAACCTCTATCACCAAAATCCGAATATAAATAATTATAATAATTCACAAAACGGTTCTAATACGTTTACAGCTTCCACCACTTATCAACATTGCAGAAAGGAGTCGCTGAGCAAAAATTTTGTTTCTTCCATTCAAGGAGTCAGTTTGAGCAACACCAATAATACGTCTAACGAAACCATATCTATAACTAATAATAATAACCAGGGCGTGATATTGAACGGCTATCATCACGAGAATGAATTTAATATCAACGGACACCACGAGGATTGCGATGTTGCCGGAGAACCTAATATTGAGGAAAACTCGAAAAAAGGCAAAGAAATTAATACTAGTGGCTCATCATTGATTGTTAACGCTTAATCCCGTCACCTATTGCCCTTTCAAATGAAAGATAAATATATAATTTTTTAAATGAACATAGAAATCGCGAATTTACAATATCATATATTATATAATATGAGTAATTAATATTTTTTAATTGAAAAACAAAACCTTAACTGTTAAGGGTGGCTTATTTTTTCTTTGCTTTATTAAATTAGTATTTTTTTTCTCCCCCTATAAAAAATTCTACTTATATTTTCATAGATCACAACATAATACAATTTCATTTTTCTTTTGGAAACAAAGTTTATCAACTTGAATTATTAATATTTTTTTTAAATTTATTCATTTCATAGATTGATATAATTATTTAATGAATGGAAAGATTCCTACTACACTATTCTCAATGATTCCTAGTACTAAAATTTTTTTAAAATATTTTTGAAAGATCTTACATTATTGTCATCCATCATTTTTGATTATTTAATATAAGAGGCCAATTGTTTTAGCATTGTAATAATTTTTTGTTTAAATATTTTTTATCTCATATTTTATGATAATAATAGATATTTTAAAAACAAATTTCATATAAAATAAAATTATTGATCTGTAAGCCAAATTTAAAATTAATATAGTTTTCTTATATGCATCTATCTTTCCTTGTGTAAAAAATATATTCCTATTTTTAAAATTAATTTTACTCTTACTTTTGGTTATATTCGATTTTTAGCAGTCCTAAGATTAATTTATTGTACCTTAGGATTGTTACATAAAGGTCATTTAGAGCTAACGAAAAGTAAAAGTTAATTAAAAGATTTTTATACTATTATGTACTATTGCTATATATTTGTGAACCTTTAATTGAAATAGGTCTGATTTTTCTATATATTATTTTTAACAACTAAGACTTTTTATATATTATAATTTGTATTTAATTAATTAATTTAAAATACTATAAGAAATGTCTTAAAAAATTAATTTTTATATCGCATTTCTACCATATATTTTTTTTGACATAAGCTTCTTCAAAATAATATTACGAATATAAGAATTTTTAAACAGGCTGATAATATTTATTTTATTAATTGATTATATATTTATAGTATACTTAAACATAATCATTTTAATTTATTATAAATTGTACCTTTTATATGTTTTCTCTTTTTCATGTTAGCCCTTTCTATGTACACTAATTCTTTTTCTAAATTAAATAAAATAATTTTTTATCTTGCGCTGGTTTTCTTTCTTTAGTACTCAAAGACATTTAAGTTTAAACTTTATCCATGCGTGGAATCTCTGTTGAGCGTAACTTTTGTAAGCTTAAATAAATCATGACTTACCTGAGATCCTACATTAGAACATTGCAATAGGGTCCTAGCAGGCCTCTACAAAGTTTTGAAAATATAACATTGTAAATGTTTTATCAAAATAAAATAATTATAATTTATCTGTAAATTTCGCGGCTTGACCTGAGCCTGAGCTTAAATAATCTTGTGTCCGAGCCTGACCCGAGCACATATTTTTTGTTCCAGCCTGACCCGAGCTCGATTAAAAATTTTGAAATTTGAATTTATATATAAAAAATATTTGCAAATTGCCATCATAAAAATATATTTAACAACCCATAAATGGACTATTATCAATTGCATAAAAAGTGGCAAACCCGAGTGTAACATTTTATTTAACCTCATAGAATATGATGTAAGTAATTTAACTAGTCATTCAATACAAATGACTCACAGGAAATTGTTAATTTGGTAAATGTAAATTATGTAAAAGTAAAATGTGTTAGATCAAATTGACATGATACTGATTGACATTTTAATGAAACTAAATGAATTTTGTGGGTTGTTGCATTTGTCATTTATATATATTTTTTTATTTATACGTCAATTCAATAATGTATTTCGTTTTTTAGAAATATATTGATTACAACGATTCTAAGTTTCTTTTATTTTTAGATTAAATTAAAGAAAATAAGGAATATTAAAAAAAATGATCTTTATAAGGATATTTAATTTTCAAGCCTCGGGTTGGTCTGCCTCTTACACCCTGAGAAAAAATATCATCAATGTCCGAGCCTAGCTTGGGTGAGCTTCGGACAGCCATTGCGGGCTCTAATAATGATAAAGCAATTTAATATTTTTTGTTACATTTATCTTCATAAAAATGCTGTTAATTTTTAATTAAAAATTTAGGTGGGGTTGAGCTTGGGCCTTAAAATGTATTTAAATCACTCATTAAAATTTTGGGCCAGAAAAAATTGAGATTAGAGAGTTACTTTTTTAGTTTAATTATATTTATAAATTAAAATAATTAAATCCTTTTTGTGGTATCTCTTCAATTTGGTGCAGAAAATTCGACGAGTATCTAATACAGCTGTGATTTATTATAAATTTATTAGTATAAAAAAGGATGATTAAATAGAAGTCATTTAAAATGTTACTCCTATTAATTATTTCTTTGTATTTTTTTTTACAAAAATCTCCATTTTATTAATAAAAAATTTAATAATATCAAAAAAAATTAACCAATATTTATACCGATTTCTTTGGTGGATAATTTATCACATTATAAGGTATACATATTATTTTGGCTAAGTTTTTAAAAATGACCCAAATCGGTCGTTTAACATTTGAATTTGTAAAGAGAGGTCTACTTTTCTCTGAGATTTTGCTAATTCATTTAGAATCAAATTTTAATCTAGAATAATCTTATAAATATTTAATAGGGCAAATCCAAAGATTTTTCACCGGTAGTATTTCTTAAATAGGTTTTTAACCTTAAATTGAAAAAGACCCTTTATTAGTGCAGGTACTAATTGGTAATGTAGCTAAAATAATGTTTTGATATTGGGAACCTAAAGTGCAATTACACATGGAAAGGGTCTGCAGAGCATTTTTTGGTCTCAAAGAATACTCTATTCTGTCATGATTACGAAAATCAGACATCACAAAGTAACTTATATGAGCCTAGGATATTGAGATTTTCCTAATATCCTCTCGTGTTTCAAGCGTAATCAACAGTTTAGACTCAACCGGAAAAAGAAAAAAAGGCTTTTTAAAATAAAAATATGACTAATAAATCTTTCCTTTAATTTAAATAAAATGTATCAAGATGAATAAAAATGTTTATTTTATAAAAATCCTCAATCGTAGATGCATCAATATTTGAGCAATTGAATTGTCTAGAAACAACTCTAGGTTTAAAAATTTCAATCCCAAACATATTAGCAATCTCCTTTACTTTCTCATATATTTCATGAAATTTTTATCCACATTCTCTCTAATATTTGTTAATATTTCAACAATATCCTTTGCTCTATTCATAACCTCCCTTAAATCCAAATCATTTGTAGCATTTTGCTAAAATCATATTTATAATTAAATAAAAAATAAACACAATGAATAGATATTAAAAATTGCGGCTTAATAATAGCCTGCAAAAGATTCTCAGCATCTGCTGAATCTTTTTCCTTGCTTGATATATAAAATTCCAGTGCTGCAAATTCAACATCATATAGTTCAATAAAGAGTTTCACCGACTCTTGTTTTCAATGAATCTAGTCGGTCAAAATCTTTTTAGTTTCTTTTTTTGATTTTTTAAGTCAATGTCATGATAAGCCACTTATATGTTTTTATCCATGATAATTGGAATGTCAATTTCTCATATTTATTGACACTAGAAATTTATAATTTTATTTTCAATTAGTGTATTTATAATTTCAATACCTATAATATAAATAAATAAAAAAAATTGCGCATTAATTCATCGGGCCGATTTGGGCTTATTTTTAAAAACGGTCGATATGTATTTTAGCCAAAATAATATGTATTAGAAATAGAGGTCCAAACCTTTCTTTTTCTTTATTTCTTTTATTCTTTTATGCGCGAATTCTCCAGGGTTACATAATATTGGCTACTAATCTACATACCTTATAATATGGTAAATAGATCCACCAAAGAAATTGGCATAAATATTGGTTGTTAATTTCTTTTTATACTATTAAATTTTTTATTCATATTACACATATGGTAAATAAAATTGTGATTTTTGTAAAAAAAATACAAAGAAGTAATTAATCGGACTAACATTCAAAATGTTCTATTTAATCATCCTTTTTTTATACTAATAAATTTATAATAAATCGCTGCTGTATTAGATACGCGCTGAATTGTCGTTGCGCTGAATTGATGCTGCGCCCAATTGTCGCCGCGCTGAATTGACCCCACACCGAATTGACGCCGGGCCGAATTTACGTGGAACCTCTTTTTTTACCTTTTGCTAATATAAAATTAATTTGAAATTCGATATTTTAAATTATTAAAATTCCATATATATTTAATCAGAATTAAATTATGGGACAAGTCTAAAATCGTCTTAAACATTAGCTAAAATTTTGCTTACCAAAATAACCAGTAAAATAATTTATTTTAATAAATCAACGCATATAATGGAGATAAAATTGTCATTGAAAATATTTCATACATGGTTAATAAATAGAATAAATATTTTTAAGATATAAATTAAAATAAAAAAGAATATTATTTTTAATTAATGTTACAATATGATATAGTGCTAATTATATGTGATACATAAATAATAAACATAATATTTACAATTCACTTAAGAAGCTGAAGAAAATATATAATATTTAATTCACGGTGTAATTGTTGATTTTATAATATTGTTTAATTCTTAAAGTACACTGATTGAATATGAAAAAATATTCGCTGATTCCTAAGCTATCAAGGTAAATTAAAAAAAAATTACTAATGGTCCGTATATAAAGCCAATGATATTTTTCTTTACAAGTTATAAATATAAACAATTTTTAAGTAAAAAAATCTTTTCCATTCCCTTGCGCAAGAGAATTTATATACACCAAATAAAATTAAATTTCATGAGGGGTTGAGCAAATGATTCTCCACATTCAAATGTATAATCATTCAGAAAACAATAAAATTAATGCCTTATTTATATACATTTAAAAAAAGCTAATAAAATTTAATGTAAGGAAATAATGAGCATGGGAAACCGAAAGGGGTTTAAAGTAGTTCATGCAAGATGTCTTCAACAGGGTGGGCCGGCGAGTTAAAAATTTTAAGCTTTGGGTGAATTAAAAATATCAGGGTTTTCCTAGAAAAATACGAGATTTTATTAAAATTTACAGCTGCCATATATCTTAAATATAACGGCTTTTTAAAGCTTAAAAATGGATATCTTAAAAAGCTGTATTTAAAATTTAAACTTTATTATACAAATTTTTAAAAAATTATTTTTCAGGCTTTAATTATAAATAATATGACTTTGAATTTTTTTATATAGACTTTCGTAATTTACTTCAGCGTAAATTTTTGTTTATTTACAGATTTTCTCTTGAATTGCATGATCGAAGTTTTTCTCATCTTGATGAATTGGCGGGAAAACTTGAGTTTTAATAAAATGTAATTATTAGAATAGAACAATGTTATAATTAATGGGCGTATGCCAGATTTAAGAAAAAATATTTTTGAAGGAATGCGAATACCCTCCGCCCTCCTTCTTTACCCAATTTTTTTTATTCACTATCTTAGAAGCAAATTTCCCTAGCCCACCCGTTTATATAGGCACTGAACGTGAGAAATCATTGAACCCCTGGTCTAATATTTGAATTTTCAATTTATCATTAAGTATAAATTTGCGAAGTCAATCTCAAGAATAGCATTAAATTGTCTGCAATATTTCTTTCTCCTGTATTTGGGAATTGGAATCAAATATTTCTCTAAAAAAGATAAAAAGAAATAAGATGTTGATTTTAATTAAAGTTGTTAATGTATTTAGATATATATCTAGACGCATAAAGTTGTATCTGTATTTTATCCAGATGCATATATAAAAAAATCTCTGTATTTTTAGTTTTTAAACGATTATATAGGTTTATATAAATTTTACTTTTTTTTATTATATTAAAAATAGTTATTTTTTGTATATTAAAATTTTTTCCAGATTATTTCTTTACAATAGGCAAACGTGTTTTAGCACTCAAAGCACCTAGCTAGCGACCTCCCTGCCATATTGTAAAAAATAAATAATAACAATTTTCAAGATCACAAAATTCTCATTAATCATTTTTCATTTATAAAAGTACTAACTCATTCTAATACTTTCGCACTAAAAAGCAATCAATCATCAAATATCAATCTTAACCTAAGAAATATTTTAATACTTATATACAAGCAATTGTAAACTTTTTTACATTTTAAAAAATATCATATACTTAACTGTGACTAATTTAATTAAACACATAATTTTATTTATGAGAATTTATTTGTGTGAAAACCATAATACTGATTTGGTGATTATCCCAAAGACATATAATAATACCTAGACTGATGATGCATTCATAATAATGCATTTGAAAGCGTCGTTGAATGCTAATCAACTGACTCGCTATTTTGGTAATCCATATAGTAATTATTTTCATGTTATAAACTACTATTATTGATAACTTGCTTCCTTATTATCTCGATGATCAGGCAATTCTTTAATAAAGTTTGCGTCAACTTAGGAATAAATTAGCCTCTCGTTTAAAATTTTAATAATGATATGGGTGACTAAAATGGCATCTCCAGCTGTTTTTATTGATGTACACTTTTAATGAATGTCTCGTTAGTCTAGATATTATTAAGTGTCATTGGATTATTCTCAATATTGAGGAAAAACTGAGGTATTTTATAGAATTTGAAGCTACACGATCCAAAGATGTCATACCTAAACCTACCTCTTAAGTTACCCCTATATGAAGCTTTCATATTAATAAATAAATTGAAATCACAATTTTACACATATACCGTAATAACTTCTTGTACCACTGGTACGATAATAATGAATGTGGCTCCCAACCAACTAAAAGTTAGGGAAAGGTATATCCAGGAAACGAAATGTTTGTAGTTGAATACTTTGAGTGTGCATGCTATAGAAGGCCACAGAATGATTATACAGATGAACAGAATAAATGACATCACGGTAGCCCATATTTTGATTTTGCTGAATTTGATTTTAACTTCGCTCAAAGTAGGCCTATCAATCAAATAGTGGGTATCCTTAATATCGAAATCACTTGTGAAGAGATTTGTAAAAAAAATGCAAAAAATATTTATATTAATATTGGAATAAAAATTTGAATAATAAGTTTAAATATATTGATTAATATCAAAAATAATGTTCGGAAATATTTTGAAATTTAAAACATTTGTGCTTTATTTTTTAATTTTTTATGTCTAACTTAACCCACAAAACAAATGGTGCTCAAATTGGCAAGTTGAATAATATCCCCAATTATATAATATAGAATAAAAGGAAATAATATAATAATTATATTTTACTTTTCATAAACTTCTACCCAGGGTGACAATGGATTATCGATATCTCTAGTATTTTCCCAAATTTCAGCAATCTCTTCTTTATTTTTAGGTTTCTTGAGGAAAGTCAATGAAACCGTTATTATGCCGCTTGTCAGAATTGACATTATATTCCCTAATACCATAGGAAACTCTTCGCCTATTTTTTTGACCGAAAACAAGATAGAGAAAATAAAATTAACTAAATATTTTTAATATCGCCTTTGGGAAATTTATTATTTGCATACTTGGATATTTAGAGAGGTGGCCAATAAAGAAATTTTATTTAAATATTTGGAGGTCCATCTGAAGGGTTCTATATGATACCATGTAACATTATAGATTAAATTTTATTGTATATACAGAAACCTGAACGTTCGATAAAAGATTTTGTATTGCCTTGTTTGCGACCTACGGCCAAGGTAGTCCAAGATATAAGAGCCCAAACGCTCACGCCAACTAATGTTCCTAAAGATGCTCCGAAGATCATGCTTTTAGAAGTTAAATGGGCCCAATAAATACTGAGACTCACCGGTATAATAGCACTGCCAATAATAATTCCCATGAACTGGTATAACCAATTCAAGTTTATCTGATACGTATAATATAAGGATTTTTAAGAAGAAAAAAAAATTTTGATATATAATATTAGAGAAATCACATAACTTTCATAAGTTTCATAAATAGACTAATATACATAGATCACTCTAATTCTGTGAAGATCATAAAGATTTATAGAACTTTCGCCTTATATCTTTGAATGATTGATCAAAAATAAGCCTCTTTTTTTATTATTTATATTTAATGAAAATTCTTATAATAATTTATTGGTATATTTATTTCTAAAATAATCTTAGAAAAAGTAAATTTTAGACAAATTAAAATCAGAATTATATTGTGAGAATATTAATTTTTCGACTAAAAGAAATGCCTGTTGGTATGGCAGATGCATGGGAATATTTTTTTTGAATATAAATTAATCGGATTATGTTCTAAAAATGTTAGGACCTGAACCCCTGTTATAGGTAACCCGAAAACGAAGAGTTTACCTATAATCATGCGGGTAAAAAGATCAATAAATGGAGGGGAGATATGTAGTTAAGTTAGTTTCACATTTTTTATAATTTAAGGATAAATTTAGTTGTTGAAAATTAAAATGATGATATGTACACCTTAAATTATTAAGCTGATAGGACCCGATAATGTGGCATCATCCAAATACCATACATTAAGGTCAAGATTATAAGTAGTTATTATATTGATAATGCTGTTTATGGTTAAGCAGAATAATGTAGGGTGATCCCATTGCTGTATCCTTGTGCTGATAGGATAATTTGTTTATCATATCATAATATAATCGGGTTATTGTAGCTTACTTGGATATAGTTGAAGTAATCTGGATAAACTTACAATAAACTTTAGATTGAATATTTATGTCAAATTTGACGAATGCCTGTTCTGAAGCAAAATATCCAGAGTAACCTTTCACTGCGTGGTCAGCTGTTACACGCCCTTCGTTGCCAAACCCTAATTGTTTTGGAGATAGAAATTCTGATAAATAGTTTTTTATAGTTTGTATATAATTTTTGAGATAATCCTTTTTATACCCCCCCCCCCCCTCCCCATAACTATTGGGCGGATGGTTTGATCTTTCTGTAAGACAATCTATCTGGTTTCAAAGAATATTAAAATTAAGATGAGATAAACCTCCAAAGATTATGTTACGATCTATAAGTTGTACTGCAATTGGACGTCAGCGAAAGGAATGGAGTAGATATTATCTGTAATGAGAAGCTTAAAAACATATAGCGCGAACTCAAAAAATGCGTGAATCGCCAAATGTGCATTAAGCTCTCTAGTGATGGAGGTTTGCCATAGATTATAAGTGTCTACACTCCGCAGGTTGAATGCCCAGAGTTGGATACGGAAGATTTTTAACAGAGCTGGAGGCGATAATACAAAAGATTCCTAAAGGAAATGTTGATACTATGGGCGATTTTAATGGGCGAGGGGGCAACGAAACGGCGGGTTTGAACAAAATCATGGTAGACATGGCTACGGAGCCAGAAATAGGAAGGGAGGAAAACTGGTGCGAGTAGCTCTGGTGTAAGACTGGCAGTGATCAACATGTTTAGGCAAAAAGTTTAAATCGAAGTTTTTAAATATAAATGTGGTTCCTTCTTGTATATATAATTATGGTTTTTTTGAGAACACAATTATTAAATATATAATTAAATATACATTCTTATAAATATATGCTTTTTATTGTTATTTTAATAATAGTTTTTAGATTATTTTAAAGAACTATATATATTATATTAAATATAATGCTGATTTGATAGAAAATTATAAAAGCTAGAATAATTTTCAATGATACACTTGTGAGCAATTAATAAAAAATGCTTATTGATCATTCAAAGATGAGGCTTTTTTTTGTCTTCTTTTGGTTTGTTAAGCATTATTCGTATTTTTCATTTAATGTCAGGTTATTTATCACTCATTGACCAATGAATGGGATTTATTTTTACATTTTATTTTTAGAATTTACTCTTCAAAATAATAATTAAGTTATCAAATTTTGGTCATATAATAGGAGATGGAATATCGACCTCCCTGCAAAATCGTTCAATGAATAAAATTTTTAAAATTATTTTTGTATTTATAGGTTTACCAATATGTTTTCCAACATACCTTAAATTCATGAAATATAACTTCCATCTTTATTTTAAATTTGAGCAAAAAATGTATAAATCTTCCATAATTTATTTTTATGGATGAATATTTATGATAAAGATTAGAGTTTTTATTCAAATAGCTTATTATCTTATTGAATTTGAATTTATCATTAATATTAAAATCCGCTTTTTATCCCTCCTGTATATTAGTTAGATATTTTGCCTTTAGCCCGATTATATATTATATTTTTAATGTTTATAACTTTTACCTCTTAATTTCTAAAATATAAAATATTCAAAAAATAAGATTGAATTTAGAAAATTAGAATAATAAACAAACTTGCAATATGTTTAGAGCGAAGGTTAATGGCAATATACTGAGAGTGGTAAATAACATTATCCAAGTTTTTTTGTTTTCCATCTCGGAATAATAATTCCTAAAATGTCCATGAATTCTGCATTTGTAGATTGGTCTTATAGCATTGTATTTACTGCTTTCGATATCTCTGTTTTAATATTTACCATTTTAATAATTTGAAAATCATTGTTATAAATAGATTGGTTCTATACATACAATTGGCAATAAATGATGTTTTTTAATCACAAAAATTTTAATTAAAAACTAATTTATTCATGAGAGTCTCTTATTTTATAATTTTATTTTTTGTTACAAGCTCAAAAAAAATTTAAAATGAAATTATAAAAAGATTATAGATGTGCCCTTCACAAAAAAAGGGTCCGGGTCTGGATCAGGGTTCAGCAAAAAATTAAAGATAAGAGATGAGGTCCGGGTTCGGGGTTTGGATAAAGAAATATTGACTCAAAAGAATACAATTTTTTTAAATCATATATTTACTATAGTTTACAAGTAAAATATTATAAAAATTAATTTATAATTTATATTTTAAATATTTTATTTAATTGCTAAGCCTTAATATCATTAATAAAATATTATTCTCCGCAATACAAAACATAAGCGTATCCAGGGCTTTGCTAAGTGAGGGGGGGGGGGAGTGAATTCTTTCCCTATAAATTTTATTAGAGATCTTTAGGTTTACTTATTGTAAGCCTCTGCCTATATTAGATTTTTATAAAAATAAAATTAGGTTTTCACTTCTCTTTATAAAAATTTTCTAAAAAATTTTGAATTATAGTCGTTATTTTAAAAGTTATTACCTTTTACTAATTTTTCTTTCAAATTCTTTATATAGTGATATATTGTTTACGTTTTTTGGAGGGAGGAAGGGGGTGAGGGGTGTGTAGGGGAAAAATTCTTATTAGTTTTAAATGATAGTAAGTGAACAAACAAATTTGCAATGGGAGGGGGGGGGGGTATTTCCCCACCCTTGGTTACGCACCTGGTACAAAATTCCCAAAATTTTACTTTCTAAAATTGATATAAAACAAATGAAGCAACATATACCTATTGTATAGAAAATTAATAAATTATCATTTTATAATAAAATATTATTACCTATATTATAAAAAGCAAAATATTTCACTTTCTGAATTAATTAAAACAAGATATTACCTATAAAATAGAATGTAAAAACCAGAAAGTTTTTAAAATTGCGATGAGGAATAGATGATTTCACAAAAAAAAAATTGTAGTTTATTTTTTAAAGGATTTAATGAATATTATTTAAAATTTTTTTTAATATTTCTTTTGAACACCTAGAACCCTTGATTTTCAAAAGGGTTCGGTTCTGGTTTGGGTCTAGCAAAAATACGAGGGTTCGTGAGGGTTCAAGGTCTAGGTTCGGGTTCATATCCTTGGTAATTTTTTATATTTGTTGATATACATACATACCATTTTGTTACATTTTTATATAAAAAATCCTATATTTCTTTTCAACAAAATGTTGCATATTGCTAGCAGGAACTTCCTTCTACCTTCTACCATGGCGGGGAGGGGTATCGCACAGAATCATCATTAAAATGAAGGGACTAGAGTGGACTCTGATTTTTTTGTTAATTTTTTGAAATAATTTTATTAGAATTCTTGTTTTGTTAAACACTTTTTTGTTTTTGCTAATTTTTATCTGGATTTCCTTTCTTTTTTTAATTAGAGAGATAGGGAGGTATGGCCATTGAACCAGGGGGGGGGTGTAGAAGTACTTGTTTATTAGTAGTATAGCTAGGATTTTACTACTAACTATTAAAAGTGACAAAATATCTCAGAACTCCCTTTCCACTTCCTATCCATTTGTATATGCAGGATACTATCTTGCTGAGCTTCTGTAAAAAAAGAATATCTTCTATTGTTAAATTATAGCTTGTCAAAGCAAATAATTACTTTTTACTTATTAATGTTAAATCTTATATTATAATACTTCATAATGGATTATAATGCAATCAATCCATCTAGCATTTTTAATGGTCAAGTTGTCGTGATAGTTGATTTGAATAATTAGTGTGTTTAAAAATTTTTTATATTATATTTAGTAATTTGAATATTTATCTGTAATTTTCAAAATTATATTATAGACCAACATTTTATAAGGGATTCGAACCGAATCACGAAACTGGAACGAACCGTTATAATTTTCTGAACAGTGAAATATAAAAAGAGCGAACCGAACTATTTCTTGAACCGGTTTAACACCGTTCATAATAGTTTTTAAAAATAATTAATTTTAAATTATTAACTTAAATTTCAAATTTTTATTTTCATTGGGGGCAATTATAATTAGTGATTTCCTATCAAATTGAAATTATCTTCATATCAATCAATACCAAGTTTATTGTTTTTACTTTATATACTCAATTTAATAGCGATTAGGCAAATTACTAATTAATTAGATAAGAAATAATCTTAAAACAGTTATCACACAAAATTTATTACTAAATTAATAAATTCATTCTTATATAATTTATTAGTTTTTATAATAATACTTGCGTTTAATTTAGGGAAAAATCATATAATTCTAATATTATTCTAAATCAATTTTTTTTTGTTTTTCTATAATCTAAAAATAATATAAAATTCTTACTATAAATCTTCAATTTTAATAAGTTAACTAACATTGCCTTATATTTTTATACTTTTATTTTATTTATGTGTTTTATATGAAATGGTCTTAAATTGAGTTAAAAATAATAAAAAACCCGAAAATAACCGTTATTAATTTGAAACCGGAATGAATCAATATGAATTTCTATACAAAAAACCGTAATGGAATAAAACGTGTATAAAACTCGGAACAAACCGAATCGCTATACGAAACGATTCGAAACCCTGCATTTTATATAATAATTTTAAAAAATGTATAAATTAGTAATCTACATCAGGCCTAATTTTTCTAGTTCAACCTAAATTTCTCTTAAATAGATTTGTCCGGCCCAGACCAATTCCAAATAATTTTTTTTTTGTCAAGCCTGACCCTAAAAAAATATAATTTATCCGCCCAGCCTGAATTTATATATAGAAATTAATTTTGTTTTTCAATATTTTTCATTTTTATACTGAACATAATCGAGTTCTTGAACAAAAAAAACAAAAATTAGTGGCACCCCGAATTATTTTTAAAAATATTAGACCTGACCCAATCCGAACAAAAAAAAATTATGCCGGGTTCGAGTTGGGCCTACTTTGGCAGATCTTTAGTATAAAGACCGAAAATTCGTTTTTTACAAGAATTTACTTTATGTTTAAATATTATTTTATTTTATAACTGTTTAATAATTTTATATTATTTAATAACTTTAGTTTAAACCTTTTTTGTTGTATTATAACTAGTGTTGTTAAACGGCTCGTTTTGAGGCGATTTTTAAAAACGGCTAACTCAATATTTCATCCAGAAAAATATTACCCAACCCTGAAGAATTTGCTCATAGAAGGAACAAAGGTTTAGACATATATTATCAAAATCTCAAGGCTTAAGCAATATTTTTCTGGTTAAAATATTGAGTTAGCCGTTTTGAAAAGACTCAAAACGAGCCGTTTAACAACACTAATTATAACTCTATTAAAGCATATATTATTTTATGACTTTAGTTGAAGAATTATATAATATTTTACTTCTAAAATAAATTAGTGTTATTTTATGCTTTGTAAATAACTACTTTTTTGTATTAAATAAATTTATAATTATAAGTTTTTGTATCATATATGAAATAAAATTAATAAATAACTAAATTAATTTTAGATTCACTTCCTAGCTCACAACAAATTATAAAGGCTAAAAAATAAAATTAGTTATCTTATTTTTTTAAACAAATTTGACAAAATATAATTATGTAATTAAAACTAAATGGTTCCAAATAAAAGTTAAATTTATATTAACCTGTCGTCTGTTTTGCAGCCTCCGCAATAGGTCATACTAACGCACATGCATTTATCTCTGATGTTAGATTTTCTTCCTCTTTGCATACCACATAATAAACAGCTATTTATATCAGTCGTGCGCCTAAATGGCTTTTTTAAAATATTTTTCATATATTGTTTTTTTTAAATGATGAATGTTCACTTTTTATTAAATTCTTATAAAGGAATCTTCAAAAATCAATTGAAAACCCTTAAAACAATATCATTTAACTTATAAATAGAGTTGGTTAAATATTTAAAAAATTATAAAAATTAATTAGGATATCAATTAATTTATAATGTTATAATTAAGGTTATTGTGATATTAATTATTAAGGTAGAAAACTGACTCTGATATAAATTTGAAATATATCGTAAGTTAATATCGACACGACTGCCACTATATTTGATGAAGCTGTAGAAGATATGGCCATCAATAGAAGTAGATACATCAGGAATGCCCCCTTTCTACCCATTAATAACGTCAAAACTCTGGGTAAAACTAGACCTATTAAATAAATGGGATGTTATATTATTTATATTTTATATAATATTTAGGCTATTTTCATCTCCTTTTTTCTAAGAAACTTTTGGATGCCACCTATCCATAAATTATATCGGAGAGCTTTAAGCCCATATTCTACAGACCTTTGATGGATTACATTTTAAAACTAAAAATAAAAATATTTTTGGTTAAATTTTTTTTATTTTTTAGTTTTTAGTTTTATTTTATGAGTAATTCCTTATTTTAAAATATTATCAAACTTATATTTCTATAAAAAATATTTTTTTCGAAAGAGGGGAATAGGAGATAATGTTTAAAAACTTGTAAATTTGACTGATTATTTTCTTGGGCCTATCCGATAACTACTATATTTATCAGAGGCGTCGCTAGCCTTTACAATCTCAGGGGGTTTAACTAAAAAAAATTATGGGGGCTTCGCTCCCCATGCCACCAATTTGCAGGCCTTCGGCCCTCTTTTGCTCGGTCTACGGCCGGGTTTTATATTAGTATATTATACTTTTTAAAATTTGTTAACTCTGAACAATTATTCTGAATTTCATATATTGTCATTTATTATATTATGCATACAAAATAAATTGGCATATAAATAATTAAAACAATATAAGACATTTAAAAAAATAAGATTTTTTAATACAAAATCTATTCATTACAGTATAAAATATTTTCGATTGCTGATATAAAAAAAATTTGCGTCTAAAGAATTATAAGTGATAAAAAAGGTAAATTAATTCATACATATGCCTCAATTGATAATAATTTTTAAAAATCACATATTGCAATAATATAATTCTTAGCAACTTACATTGACAAAAGGTTGAAACGAATATAAATCTCTGTTACCATTTTAGACAATGATTTATAGAATGGACTAATAAGGAAAAATTTACAGACCTAAACCAAATTAACAATTCTTGAAGAAGAGAGTAAAAACGACCAATCCAAACCATAAAACTATATGGTGGTTAGTGCATCTTTTTAAATGATTTGATGGAAGCTAGATAAGTAATCGAGAAAATTATTGTGAGATATTGAATTTCTAAAAGATTATCTTCCATTTTTAATGATATATAAAAGACTACAGAGTTGGCCATTATTGTTTATCTAAAATATGCAATCATATGCTTTCAACAGCTGTGGTAATCATCCTAAATTACATAGCAACACAAATAATAGATGCTGGATAATTTGCAGTCATAGCCATGACACTCACGATGTAAACTAATATTAGAATTTATTATGTTGCATAAATTGATAAAAAAAAACACTAAAAATCTTTGGAAGAAATAATTATGCAAATATATTGAAGCCTTGAATTATTTACACGGCAAGGATGCCATATTAGAAATGAAACATTTTCTAACTCTAAAATAAGGACCAGAATGATATGATGAAACAATTAAGATTTTATATATTGTGGCACTACCTCTAGTTGGTATATTATAACTTAAAAGTTTGTAATAATATCAAAAATATATTTGTATTAAAAATTTAACTCAAAACTGTTTTTCAAAGAAGAAAAAAATAGCTTTCCTAAAAACACGTAAAAAAAGAGAAGAAAAGATATCTAATTTATTACATCCATTGTGGGATGAATAATAAGATGTTAAAATATAATAATATTTTTAAAAATATAGATGGCGTTAAAAAATTGATTGCAAATTGTTACTTATTTATTATTAAAAGCATTTATTAGTAAAATTTATTAAAATATTAACTGTAATATATTTCATAACTGTCAAATACGTCTATAAAAGTGGCATTTTACCTAATATTTTATAATCAATTATATATAATAAAGGATTGTAAACTATATGCCTACTTACTTTTTATAAAGAAACCTCTTAATACTTATTTGGACCTCGAAAATTTTTTTAGGAATAGATATGATAATTAAATTTAAAATAAATATACAGTTGATTAATCATTTTAAACTCAGCTATACAATATTAAATATTTAGTTTTTAATTAATAATTGATTATATTTATTTAATTAGGGTTATATAATAATTTAAATAATAATAGTCAATTAAGTTTCAGCTAAAAATTAATATTAAATGAGTGATATTGATATTCTATTTTTAACACAGAATTTAATTGCAAGCTAACATAGTGAAAATATAATTTATATGTATTAATTCTAATCTAATATTTAAAATAGTATTCATTTAATAAAAGTAAGACAGTCTTTTTTTAAATACTAAAATTAAATCTATATATTACTTAATGGAATTATAAAAGAAATCGTTTAGGGGGTAACCAAAAAATTTATTTTTAGTTCAAAAGGTTAAGATTCCATAAAAAATAATTTTTTTTGCTTCAAGGGGGCTATTCAAATCTTTCAGGGGGCTCGAGCCCCTGCGCCATCTCTCCTAGTGACTCCACTCTGATATTTTTTTCAAGCATTTATTTTAGTTTCAATTTTAATTTTATAATTATAAATAATAATATATCAGTCTTTCATATATTGTTGACTCTAAAAATTGTCAATAAACATTTTTATTAATCATTCATACATTTGTGAGTGTAGTTTTATATATTTTCATCATTTTAGTTAATTTACCTGCAAAAAAAAATTGTTATCTCATACTAAAAAAATTTCCATTAGAAAATATTTGGATTAGAGATATTTTTAAGCAGAGTTCTCAAAGAGCCATAAATGTATTTATGTGCATATTTTAGCAGTGAAATAAAAATTTCATTCAGTTCAGTGTATAGATTTATAATTTGTGGCTTACTTAAAAGTTGGAAGATTTCTGATAAAAATTTTGCAAAACGACGATTGGACTAAAAATAAAATTATTAGTCGATTTATAAATTTTTGTCCGATGGAAAGAAACATACCTCTCGAAAATCTCTGATTTTTAGTAAACATTTAATAGACCAACCTTGGCATTAAAATTTTGATATATTTTTTAATGAATTTCAAGTCAATATTTTGAGTTGACTAATATAATTTGAAAACAAATTACAATATACTTATTTCTTTGTATCTTAACAGCTGTCCAACTAAAATATTAATTCCATAAATAATTTAGTAAATTTCCTAAATAATACAAATTATTTATGATATGATCCAAAATACAGATATTAAACATAATTGTTTTACGAAATGGTTGTTGTAGAAAGAAATAAATAACCATAGAGGAGAGATAGATATTTTAAGAGAGAGGGCAAATAATTTAACGTTCAGAAATGAGAAGGGTTTGCATGCCTCTAAACTAGATTTTTAAAAGCAAACTATGTGTGAAAAAGTTATATTTAATATAATGATTTGTCATTACATATATTGACAGCATATTAGTAATATACTACAGATTAAAATATATCCTACTGACCAAATAGACTAGCCATTTAGTATAATATATTGGTTGTTTTCCTATCAATATTATCAAGACAATGGAAAATAAATGAATAATATAACCTCTATCAATATCTTCCTGGTTTAACAATGATTTACCAGCCGCAAATTCTAAGGCCCTGAAAGTGAGTCCTCCCGCTGTTGCCAAGGTAAATGGTATAGAAAACCAAATAAGTCCCCCTAAGATGAAGCCTATAACACTGTTCTTGGGTTTACTAGCCATGGCGCAGTTCCAATAAGATTGATCTATAAAAACGGCACCAAAATTGCCTAAATATATTTTTATTTTTCGGGAGGTTTAAAAGTACATCGAACCGGTTTTCTATTTTTGAATAGATCTCGAATCTTACGTTCCTCTAAATAGGTCCAATCCGGCCCAAAATATATTTTAGGTCTAATGGTCAATTGGCAATATAAGATATATTATAAAAAAGTTTAATTGCGAGTATTTCAGAACTTAATAATTTTAAATTAAACCTTTATAAAGTATTAATTTTAGTTTTAATTCAACTAAAAAAAAAATTGAAAATCGATATATAAGTAATAATTATATCGTACTTTTTTAAAAAAAAACTTTGCTTAAGAAATATCTTACATTAGCGTCGCGATTGAGTAATTTTTAAAATTAATCTTTTTTTTCCTAGCTACTATCAAGACATTAGCATTTTATATAAACTAATCCTCATTCTCATTTAATTTTCCATAGAAGTTTCCCCTCCCATTATCTTATCCTGAAATCTACATAATGCTGAAATGCATATACCTATTTATAAGTGCGTTAAATGAGTAAAATTTACAAACAATGAGATCAATATTAAAAAGTTTAAAAATTGGCTATGAGATAAAATTTATAATTTTAAAAAAGCACATCAATTATATTAAAAAATCTATGTAAAACATAAATACAAATTGTGTACATTTTTATAGCTCTTTGAGCTAATGATTTCAACAAATTTTGTAGGTCTGAAAAAAAATTTCCCCTTAATTATATAGAGTGGCTAGCACTTTCGATAAATATAAATAGAACACGTTGGAAAATTTTACTTTTTTCGTAACTTCCTTTTTGAGCAAATTGAAAAACTCGGGTAGATATAATATGAAATGCTTTTGTGTGAATGTTATTACACTAACCAAAAATTATCAGTTTTTTCTTTTCGAGAATGTATTTCGTTTTATTATGAACATAATTTCTGATCTAAATCTGATATTTGTCTGATTCCTGCCTGATTTATAATTGTCTAAATTACCCCCCCCCCCCTCCCGCTCTCTCCTTACTCGAGGCATTAAATAAATAATAATATAAAGTGGCAAAAAAATATTATATCTATCTTTTTAATGCACAACTAAAGTGCCCATATTAAGAAACCCCACTAAATTTCCGACTTAATAAAGAGAATGAATCTATATATTTTATATAAATTTTGAAAAATAAAAATTTGATTGATTTCGCGAAACCACATCAATCGCTTAATTATAGTAGAACATATTATTTCTTGGCATGCTGCAAATGTATTCACCTACCATAGGCCAATTATTCTTTTCATTTTCGCGAAATAACTATATATTTATTTACCTAATGATTCTGCTACCTTGTAAATTTTGTATAAATGATAATAGACGCTGATAATAATTTCTAAGTCTATTTCTTTTGTTTTTAAGAATTTTTTTTACTAATCGATAAAAAAATTTTATTTGCATTTAGGGGTTATAAAATAATTATTAGGACAAATGGGAATAATTAAAATATATTTTCATTAAATAAGGCGCTGAAATCTTATTTAGAGTAATAATTAAAGATAGTTAATCATATTCATTCTCCATACATAATATTTACTAACTCGTTGCCAAATGGCAAAAGGATAATTTGCTAATTTTGGACACAATCTATTTTATACAAATAAGACAAAAAAGATTTTTTTTTTATAAAAATTGATGCAGCGTCTACAGAGGAGCACAATAATTTTGAGCCAATACATCGGGTTTCACCTATCCCACCAAAACCTACTCTCTTTATGACATCTTGAAACAAATTTTTCTTACCCTTAAATCATAAGACACTGCATTAATACCTTAAGAAGGTATAAGATTACAAAAAAATAAAATATTGTAGTATATAATATAAGTGTAAACTTTAGTAAAAATCTAAATCAAATATAAAACCTATGAGGTTGATGATCCCGAATTGAAATCCCGAGAGTGAAACGAATGTTAAATAACTGTTATCCAAATTTTTATATGGACCTTTCATGCAATACAAGTTGTTGTAGATATGTCTCAAACCCCCTTATAATTGATGTATATAAATAAATCATTTAGAATATTTTAAGGAATTGAACCTATATGGGAGTGATCATTGTACAGCATGTGGCACACATATAGCAAGAAAATGAAGATGAATGAAGTGTTGAAGTAGGAAACGTATAGGGTGCCTACAAGACCTCCTATTAGCGTGTAGCTGCCAGTCACTACGATCATAAGGAGAGAAAAGTTCATGATGTTTATATCTTCTATCAGGTATTTACAAGCTCCATACCCACCTATTATAAAAGACATATAGATATACTAGGGATTAAGCAGCCATAAAGGTTGACTGGGCATACCCCCTTAAATCAATATATATTAAACATTTTGTCTCAAAATTGGTCAATATGTTATATATATGACTTGTAGCACCTTATATATGTTCATTTATTAGATACTGCTCAAAATATATTTAAGAAGAAAGTTCTTGGTACCACTTTCTACTCAAATCTGTTTTTGCATTTTTTTTATCTAGAGAAAAAAAAAGTATTCATATTACTGATGTTTAATATAAATGTGATATTTAGATTTATAAAATTATTCGCAAAATTGGAAATTTCTGACAAAGACTTTGTTTATAATAAGCGCGAAATATAGTTCTTATCGCTAAACGATAGCATAGCTCTGTAATTTTAAGACTATATATTTTATATATTATGTATCGCTTGAAGAGACACTATGAAAGGTCAAAGACAATTAATATATCATTCTAGCAGTTTTTAGCCTATTCCAAGAATGAAAATTATATCAATTGAATTTATTGAAGGTGACATGGTCTCATTTTGATATTATTATTTCATAAAAAAAAATCAGGTACTTCTTTTCATATTTTTTCCTTTAAAAATAATTTTATATTTACAAATGGAAGAGCGTTTTCGCTTTATTCCATATAATGTTTTAAAATGGCAAAGATAATATAACTTCTATTTTAAACACCAACTTTTTTAGAAAAACATAACGCTAATAAGCGCTTCTGCTCAATTTTCAAATATTAAATTAACTTTTTATTTTATAAATTTCATTACATTTATTCTAATTTAAATTTTTTGTATTATTTTTAGAAACCAATAATTTCATAATTTTCTATTCAAAAAAGGACTTGGTTCATAGTTTTTTTTAAATTTTCCTATATACTATTGTTACTGTTAATTATATTATATATATTAAAAATAAGGAGAAATATAAAATCTACAATATAATATCAGCAAAATGGCATTTATAGTATTTTATTAAAATGTTTTATATTATTTGTAAAATTCATATTATTATCTCAAAGAATTTTCTCATAAAGCAAATATCAATAAGAACTGGTGCAAAAAAATGAGTTCCTTCTAAAACAAAAAACTCAATTTGATATCCTAAGAGGGAATTAAAAGGGTTTCTTTAAAACACTTCCTTATCCCTATTAGCTTCTCCTTTCTCCTATAATACTATTAAATTTTTTAAATATTATTTGCTCTTATTTTTCTTTAAAAAAAGCGTGCAATATTTATTTCTAAAGCTATTTGGTAGCTAAATCTGCACTTTAGATAATATTTATATAAATAAAGAAATAATTGCATTTGTTTTTTTCTATGAGACTGCACAACCTGATATATAAAGTATATATTATCAGGGGTTTTACTATCCTTTACAATCTCAGTTGGTTCAAAAAAAATTTTAAAGTTATTTTCAAAATTACCTTCTTTTTAGCTAACATTATCCGAAATGACCTTTTTTTCAAAATTATACCTTATTTGTTTTAACTAACATTTTCAAAATTATGTTTGGTATAAAAAAAAATTCAAAATGTTGAATGTTATCTTCAAATTTTTCAGGGGGCTCTAAACCCCCCCCCCCTCCCGTTACTAATATTATACATGTATAATTAATATATTTTATAATATTATCGACATTAGATTAAATTTAATAAATTTACCTTTTCGTATAAATAAATATTTTATTTTTTTATAAAAATTGTTATATTGGCTGAAAAATCGAATTTTTAGAAAATAAAAGAAATTATATATTTTTGTATTTAACTTAAAGGTCTGCAATGGTAAAATTTTCATGCCCGGCTAAATTAGGACAGGCCCATCAAAATTTGTACAAAGCTAGGAGGGTTCCAATTATGTAAAGGTTGCCGGAGCCAGTTTTTAAAATCCATGCATATACTATGGGAAAATGACCAACAATGATGGGGATTTGAGTTTCATGATTTTCTTATTATTGAAATAACACAAAATGTAGGAAAAGGAAAGCCAAGCCCTGTCAAAATCCAATGGGCCGGATACCGAGACTAGCTAGGCATAGCTGATCTCTAATTTAACTCACATTTTAATATAATATATTTTAGACATTATTTTCTTTCATAACTTAAAATTTTTTTTTTATAAAGCAATAGCATATAAAAATAAAAATAATTTTATGACTATACTCATTAACACTCCTAAAAGGAGTTAGCTCTCACTCCTGCTTTTCAAAAGCATTATTATAAACAGTTAAAAATCAGCAATAAAGTTATTTGAAAATTTGTAATTTATTTTTATAATATTATAAATCTTTTATTAATGCCTCGTATAAGAGACTCTACAATAGATTGATAAAACTCTTAATCTGCAAAATAATTAAAGTTTTAAGCAAGTCTAAAAATAGTTAAATTAAACCCCATATTCATATGTAGCTCACCTTTAAATTTTTGCCATATGCTTTATAATAAATTTATGTTCTTGATGATTTATACCCTTCAAAACTTTTAAATTATATTATCATTTCTGTTTAAACCATAAAGACTGATATTTTTGATATGAGCTTTGGGATATAATTTTAAATCTATTTTCTAATGCTTTCTCCGCAAAGATATTGAGGCTGACACAGTATTTTAATAGAAAATCATAACTTTTGCTCTATTAATTAACATCTTCGTAATTTACAAGTTGAAAATCTTCATAATTTTTAAAACGTTTATCCTCCACTTTTACATATGAGAAAAATATTCCTTGATGAGAATTGAAATTTTTCTCCTGTATTTATGGTATACAACAATATATAAATAAATTAAAATTATTTTTTGAACAATTTATACAATAAAATCCAATCCCAAAATAGAGCTGTCTCCCGCTCCAAAATTTTAAAAAATAGAGGGATGATTTTTAAAAATACTCCATTCAGTATTCTCAAATAAATCTAGATTTAAATTATATTAGTCAATCATGATAAACTAAACAATCTTTTATTCAAAATTTAAAGATTCTTTTGATTTACATCACTGGCGTCCAAATTCGCAAGGGGGGAGAAAATTTTGGGTAGTTTTTTAAAAATAAATTTTATGAGTCCCGATCAAATTCCCATTAACAAATAAAAGTACCTGATAAATAGGGCAACTGTCTGCCTTAAATGGGCAGATTTTTAATTTTTTGTCCATTTGTATAGGACTTCATAAAGTGGGCATTTGTTGTTTCTTTGTTACATTTATTTATATTATTATAAAATTTTATCATCTTTTGCTATTTATGTAAAGTAGCAAAATTAATAAAGAAAATAAATATAAATTACCGTTAATTAAAGAAATTGACATTATTAAATTTCTAAATTATCATTCTCAGAAAGAATGTGCTAAAAAGTTTAATACTTCTAAAAGTACTGTTTACAAAATTCATATAGGGGAGACCGGGGTAAAACGATAGGCATTTTGCATATTTACCATAAAAATTTTAAACAAGAGTCAAACACAACAAATTATAGATCAATGTGTAGCCCCATCTCTCTTCTACAAGATAAAAAAAAGTGTAGCCCTCTACCTATAATATTTTAGGAGCTATGATTAGTTATGTAAAACTACTCATTTTCGCCATTTTACCCTGGGTACAGGGTAAAATGGATAAGCACTAGGGTAAAGTGGTTAAAATAATATTTGACACATATTTATTGTTTTATTTAACAAATATTACAAATTTAAGATTTATTTATGATTTTTATTTAATAATCGATACAATAAGGACATGTAAAATAATTATCATAATTAGCATATTTAGAATGTGCCCATTCAAGGCACATTGTACATTTTAGCCATTCATCGTCCTCCCGACTATTTTTATAGTTTTTATTACAAATAACACATAAACAATTATTTTTTGATATCTTTTTTTTTCTCTGAATTAATAATTTTTTTTTATAAGGTGTAGATGTTAATATTTCTGAATTCTTTTTCTTAGATATTTTATCCGATGAAATATTGAATAATTTTGGAATAGGTATTATAGATGAAGGATTGAATACTTTATTATAATTTTTTGAGCATGATGGTAACATATCATGATAAGGTTCATCAATATCATCTGGAACATTTTCGTTCAATAATATAGATAAATCACTATCATTATTTTGAGTCACTGTAAGATTTTGAGTCACTGTAATATTTTCATCATTATTTTCAAATTCAATATTTGAGTTAGCATTTGAATTATTACAGCAGATATAATCTTGTTCTGTAAATATATTTGGGTTTAAAGGAAATATGCCACATGCTAAGAATCCATTTAATATATTATTTGATGTCACTGCCCTTGGTATTTCATTTTTTAACACTCCTGGAATATCATAAATCTGAAATTGTTGCCCCACATGATTTTTAGATTGAGCATTATTAAAATTATGAAATACAATATAATTTCAATTGAGCATTTTTATTAAAGTTACCAAATAAATAATATTTAGATTGAGCATTATTAAAATTATGAAATACAATATAATTTCAATTGAGAATTTTTATTAAAGTTACCAAATTAATATTGATATTTAAATTGAGTTATTAAAATTATGAAATACAATATAATACAAACAATATAATTTAATTACTTGTTTAGGCGTTAATCCCATAAATGACCTACTTGCTTCTAATATGTAGTCACACAATCTAGATTCTTCTTCATTTGTAAATATTTGTTTATGATGATCTGAACTTTTAATACCAATTTTACATCTCCTTCTCAACGTTGTATAAGGTATGTTAAATTTTTTAGCAGACAAATTTAATGAAGTATTATTTGTTATTTTATATTTTATGGCTTCATTTATTATATTTACATCTCTGTATATGGTTTTTCTTTTATATTTTCTCATTATTTGATTGATACAATAAAAATTATAATAAATGAATTAATGAAAAATTAATGTGAATAATTTTATATTTTAACCGTTTTACCCATAACAGCTTTACCCCTAGGTGACATATATTATAAATATCGTTATTGCGTGACTTCTAATATAGCTAAAGATGTCAGATAAATTTTATTTTATAGCTAATACATTAAGGAACATGTGTGCCAAATTTTGAATCCTGAGGATATGTAAATTTTACTAAAAGCAAAATATACTAGAGAATGATTTTTATATTTTTTGGGTAAAAAACAGTTTTTTGACAAAATATATAAAACCAGGTAAGTTTTTTAAAAGATGAACATAGGTAAGAAATTAGATATAAAAATACATCTTCACACAAAATTTAAGGTCTTTATACTCAATGGTTAAAAAGTTATTCGCGTTAACATTGTTACCCCGTCAATCGCTTTACCCCGGTCTCCCCTATCCAAATAACACATTATCAAACGCTATGCAAAACATATTGTATTAAATAAACAAAGATAATATTCTATTTTATAAATTAATTTTATATTTTTACTCTTATTTTATAAGCAACCATTTTATAAACATATACATACTTATTTTGTTTAAGTTTATGTATACATACATAATTTTACTCATGATTTTAATGAATTAAAAAATAAAATTATTGAAAAAGGTTGAACATAATATTACTTGCTAAACTAAGAATATAATATAGAAATTTTTATTAAAGATAAAAAGGCTAGATAAACTGTGCAAATGTCTAAGTTGGACAAAAATGTCCAGCACTGCCTAAATTATACAAGTGTATACTGTTGTAATTAGGGTTGTTAAAGCTCGTTTTGGCGATTTTTAAAAACGGCTAACTCAATATTTCATCCAGAATAATATTACGTAAGCCCGAAGATTTTGCTTGTAGAAGGAACAAAGATTTGGACATCTATTAGCAAATCTCGTGTCTTAGTCATTATTTTTCTGGCTAAAATATTGATCTATCTTTTTGAAAATAGGCTCAAAAAGAGTCGTTTAATACTAGTTGTAATCATAGTCGTATATTCGTATAGCATATTGTTGTATTTTTATTTAAACGTTATTATTATTATAAATTAATTTTGAGGTTTATTTATTAACTAGTGAAAATCGAATGTTTTATGTTATACATATGTGTGACATAATCAGATAATCTGAAAAATGGAAAGTTATGCAATGAATTATTGTATTAAAAGAAATATGAAAAGTTATATATGATTTAGCATCTATATTGAAATTTATTTCGACACCATTTTTTATTTCCTATTTTATAAATTTTTTTTTTTTTTTAACATGTAAACTTTTTTTATTAATTTAAAATATAAACTCTTTAATAGTAAAACATATATACGTAATTTAAAAAAAATATATATTAAAAATGTCATGTAAACTATTTATATAAAATCTATACAAAAAACTGTATAATAAAAAAAAAAAAAATTTAAATAATTAGTATAGTAAATTGTATGTTGGGTGGGGGAGGAGGTCAAGAAAGAGAGCCATGGATGGCAATGCAGTTAGATCTGCATATATCAATAGATGTGCGCTGTCTGAGATAGAAGCCTTCCTGTGGGTCACCAGTGATGGCGCGGATTTTTTTACCGAGGGATTTGAAGAAGGTTAGGGCATGATTGCCAAAAGAACCGGTTGTGTCTGATACGATTGGTATGAGATTGCAATTGGTTAGGGAAGTGTATTTATTAATTTTCGAGTTTTCAGCTCGCATGAATGAGTTCTTATTAAAGGAGGGAGCAAATCGGTCGATGCAGGTATAGTCCCATGCTAATGGACTTCCAATACTCCATGGTATTAATGTCAGCCCATCTGGACGTATATTATTCTCTGTTGAGAGGCCACAGGGTTCGAGGGTTGCTGGAATTTGAGCTGAGCGTAGAGCACGGAGAATGGTGTTGTTAACTGCACTGTGTCGAGAATGTCTACCTTTAGAGAATCGACAATGAAGAGGATGATGTCCTAAACAATCAACGGGTTGGGAACATAATGTACATGTGGAGTTGGCCAGTATATTACAACCAAGACGGAGACCTATTGCTATGCGTAATTCTTCGTTTGTTAAGAGAAGTCCTAAGTTTGAACTGGGCAAAGCTTCTAACCATTCATAGCCCGATAGGGAAGGCAAAAGTTGTGGAACTTGCAGTTGTGGGAGAGAGAGATGATCAACTGTTAAGAATTCATCAACTGTAATGGGAGATAATAAATGTGAAAGGATTGATGGGGATCCCTTAGAAGCAGCACTCGATATTAGATATTCAACGGAGTGGCGTATTAAGGGAAGATCCCAGTCATGTTGCTTTCGTGATGTGGGGATTGGAGCGGAGAAGGAATTCTCTTTCCAGATTGCTAGGGCGTGGGGAAAGTGGGGGTCTGTGGGGTTATTGTTAAGTGATAGCATAATTAAGCGGGAAAGTTATCAGAACCCTTTCCTAGATTTTAATAATATATTGGACCTTTTATTAATTAAAGTAAATTAATTGAAAATAGGTCGATAGAAGTAACAATATTATTTGTTATTTTTTTTAGGAAAAGGAACACCATTCATTACTAGTTTCAAAAGATAACTATTAAAGAATTTTTTTTTGAGTAACAGTAACGTAGAACATTATATACTACTTTTAATTTTTAGAAAATATAGAAAATAATATATTACATAAGCTCTTCATTTTTATTTTATTTATTACATTTTTATTGTTAAATTTTATACAGTCTGTTAATATAAATAACATTCAATCAATCAAGGTATGTTAATTAATTTTTTTTATTATTAATTTATTTTATAAGGAATATATATATCAAGAATTCAGATTAAATTCTGATAAAGATAAAAAAAATTTGAGGATCTGAATTAAGATTCTTGTTAAAATGATCTGATATGTTTTTTTTAAAACAAATAATTTTAAAATAAATTCAATTAACATGTTTATTTCTTAAATTTAATACTACCCTATCGTCCTTTACATCAGTTGGATGTTCTTTAACACAGCGAAAGCTGTGTTTAGGACTAATCGCTCTTGTTTAACGCGTTTCATAATGCAACGAGTAATGGTAATGCCATCCTTTTTTCAAACGTAACGAGTAAGGCGTTTCTTTATAAGTAACGCATACAGCACTAATTAACTAAATTCCCTTTCCATCTAATTACAAATGATATGGGAAATATATTTAAAAGCAAATCAATTAATTCAAACAAAATCAAAATTGCGTTGATTTTATTTTTACAGGATAAGTCTATTTTATTAAATTTATTATTTTGGTTAAGAATATATTTTTAGATTCATCTGTTAATGACGTCGCCAGGAGGAGCTAAAAAAGATAGACCTTATAGCAATTTCATTTTATTTGAGTATCTTCTAAATTAGCGCCACTGACCTGACCTATTAACATAATTTTAGAAAAAATAAATATATTTATTTTTACCCAGCATGAGCATGGAAGTTACGACAATATTTGTCAACAGTGCGAAAGAGCAATACAGTATATGACACTTTGAACCGAATCTTATCCTTATAATCTGAAGAAAGGTTTTAGCTCCCGGTCCTATGATCTTGAGTTGAATGGCTAACATGGAGAATAGAATTAGCTGAATGCACGCTCCTGCTGCGTACCAGAAGGCTCCACTTATTCCATACTTTTATGTTTAATTGTTGGGAAGAATATTATAATATTACAAAATTCATATATAATGAGATAAAATAATATATTACAAGAGTTTAGATCTGAACTTGTGTTTTAGAATTTTACAAATAAAAGCTTTCAGTAGCTTTTTAGGTTTCAAAATTTGTTTTCAGGCATTAATTAAGTATGAAACATTCAGATATATATTTTAAAATTAGTACCTCCAATGTTCATGCAACTTTGACCGAATATAAAGATATTAAATTTTTAAAATAGCAAAAAAAGCTACAAGATTTATGAAAAGTAGGGCGAAGTTCAGAATTTTTTTTATAGAATTTATTCAATAGTGCCCTTCTTGCTAAAAAATCATGATATAAAACTAGAAAAAAAAACCATTTTGAAAATGAATAGCATGTGATAATAGCATAGTTATAAAAATATAAGCAAATTTTACGAAGTTTTTTGAAATTAACAGGGTAGATATATTCTATTTATGCTTCGTTAGTTCACTCCAGAACCCTAGTATGTGACAAAACAAATGAGAAAATACATTTGACACTGTAACTCTGCGCACCGAGAAGGGTTTAACTCTATTAGCTGCTTCTCTAAATATCAGGTCTTTCAAAATTAAAAAATACGCGCTTAAATGATTTGAGTTTGAAATTTTCTAAAAACCAGATAAATGAAAAATAATCTTGAATTTTCTAAACCCCTAACAATATTTACATTATATTAATAAATAAATACGCTTTAAAATTATTAATATAGTTATATCTTATATTCAATCTATCTGTTTTTATGATGTACATTTTGACATATCTTATCCATTCTTAATCTTATACCATATTAATAAAATAATATTTATAATTGATTTTTTGAAAAGTATTATTTCAATTGAGACCAAAATTGAAAGGATAAAATTTTCATGAAATGCCACTTTAGGTGATTAAAATTATCTGACCAATTTAAAAACAATGAATAGAAAATGTATCAGACATTTCAAAGTTATAGTGAAAAATTAATAAAGAAATTATAATTTTGTTAAATTACAGGAGAGGACTAAAATAAAATAATTTAAGTTAGGCCATTTCCAAACAAAACGTTTTTTTAAAGCAAAAAAACAAATATAGCTGATGTACTTCCAAAAACACAATGTTTTTTTAATGCAGGCTTTCCTGCGTTTTTAAATATCATATTTTTAACGATTAAGTAGCGTTTTATATGAATGAAATAACAAATTTTTAAATATTATATTATCAGTGGTGCATTGCAAAATAGACTACGGGGGGGGGGGCTAAGCCCCCCTGCTAATTTATTTTTGATTTTTAGTGTCTTTCCAAATTTTGAAGAGGGGCGGGAGGGACGCCCTCTTCAAGAAATTTTAAAATATTTTCAAAAGTGCTAAAATTTGCCCTTTTCTCTTTATTATTTTTATAAAAATTACAATTATTTTAGTCAAAATCTTTTTCATATATTTTTTATAGCCACATAGAAAAAAGAGAGGGTGAAAATTTTATTTTTCAATATTTATATTTTTATATAAATTTTATGGCCACCGCTTCTGCCTTATTATAAGTATAGAAGGTTCACCATTAACAAATATTGGTGATAAATAGCTCCTTTCTAGCAGGTTTGAGCCAACTTTAAAAAAGGCTACAAATAGGATAGCACAATTTGAAAAAAATATGCTCTCACCTCAAAGTTTAGCATTTTTGACTTTTAGTATTGAGCCGATAACGACATTATAGGCAAGAAATTTAACAAAATCTTTGTTTAAATGGGAATTTGAAATTTTTTCAAATAAGTTGGTTATTAGTTATTAAGATTGATCAATTTACTTTGAAAGAAATAATAAATTGGGATATTTTCGGTGCCTTTTGCCAATAAACCATTTTTAATTAAAAAAATAAATTAGGAACATGGTGACAATAATAAAATATTATATAGGCAGTGTCTACTTGACAGAAAATTTATTGAAAGCAAACTCCCTCCAAAATCAACCCTTACTCCCTAAATGGCAGCCTTCGGGCACAATATGACTCACCCATTATGCTATAACAACCCCTTGATACTAATTTAAAAATCTTATAATGAGCCATAATTAAATAACTTAGAAATAATTCTTATTAAATCTTCTAGGCCTCCTGATTATTTAGACTTGGAATAATAATTTAACATTAGTTGGTGGATCAACTAGTTGTTGCTAATCGTATTCTGAACATTAGCTACGCGTGTTCAATTTCGGTCTGTTAAATGTTATCTGTGAATGAATGAGAAATAAATATCTATTAATAAATTAATTTTTTTATTAGTTATTTTTATCTTTAATCTACAAATATTGTTTGTTTTCCCTACCCCGCCCCCCCCCCCTCCTCTTCAAAAAAAATTAAAATAAATCTCCTACAAACTTTTTCATATAGACGCCATAGGTGTAGGTAAATATTTACAGATGTCGCTCGATTTAGCGATTACAGTTTTATTTAAAAATACAACATTAAAAATCCAAAAATTGTAAGATTAAAAACAGACCAAGTTATAATATCTCTACACCAGTTGCGTAGCTACAAAGGGGGGGGGGCACCCCCCCCCTCCCCAGAGAAAAAAAGATTATACGTTCAAAAGAGTCAAAAGTGACTTTATATCAAATAAATACCATAAATATTTATTCTGTTTTGATGTTTGTGGAAGGATATTATATTACTATTGAAAATATTCTGAATAGTATTATTATAAAGTCATACAACACTAATTAAAATGATTAATTCTAGGACTTTTATATTATAAGAAAAACAAATATGATTTTCTACGCCACTGCTCTATACATGCAGTCCCGTTGGATAGCTAGAACTGAAAATTTTTTAATAAAATTATCTTTTTATTTTCGAAATATTTTATAATATAATATTTATTTAAAAAGAAATTTGGGCTAATAATGTACGATTTGGCGAGATGCAAAAGAGGAATCTACCAACGATTAAAAGTAAATGAATATGAAATGATTGCTGAACTTCGACAATATATCGATCAAGATATTCCTAATAATTTTAAAAAATTACTTAACTCTGTTCATACTTTACCCTGCAGTACAGCCGAGTATAAAAGGGCGTTCATCTTATGAATTCAAACATGGTAGATAATCGAGGGAGTTTAAGAGTAAATAATTTGTCAAATTTAATTTTCAATATTAATGGACCTTCGATAACAAAAGAAATCCAGATCCATGTAACAAAATATGGAAAATGATTCATCACGCCAGAATGAAATCTTTTCAGAGAAAAATACACCCAAAGAAAAAGAAGAAATAAAAGATTTATATATATTTATATATGTTTTAATTTCTATAGATATTGGTGGTTTGTTATCTTATTTTAAAATATAATATAAATAAGGAATTTACTCATATTTGTAATAAAAAATTCAATTTTATATATGTCATATTTTTTGATAATATATAAAATAAAAATTGTAGCCTCCCCAGTCACATTTTTAAGCAATAACCCACTATATTTTATGCAATAATTTTAAACTCAAATAAAGTATTAGATTAATTATGATATGAATTATGAATTTTATACGCCAAAAGGTAAAATAGTTTGATATTGCATCACATCTTGTTGAGTTACTAAACATTTTTACATATAATTTTATATCAAAGGATTTTTTTAAATTAATTAAGATCATTATTTGATATAAATATATTAATTTATATTTCTTTCATTAAATTAAAATAAGGTATTCAATGAATTTAAGCAAATTATGATAAAAGAATTATTAGATAACGATCCATGATCATTATTATAGAAATACATATTAATCAGATCAGATTTTACACTTATCCCAAAATAACTTAGAACTATTTCAAACCTTAGCTAATATGTATGATAGATATGTTGTTATTGAAATATTTTTTTAGAATTTGCATAAATTAATAAATATTATAAACAATTACATTATTTAATAATTTCCCATTCTTTTATCCCAGTTAGATGGGCTCTTATGAGAGAAACAAGCGTTGCTCTGTTATATATATGTCGTATTGGGATATGGAATCATGTGGGATTCGGAATCCCAACGTGGGGAACGTTTTATTCGGGATCTTTTTTTTATTTAAAAATATTTAAAAAATATTCCGAATCCCCATGAAAAAATAATAAAATATAATTACTTTTTCTTCTCTTTTTTGCGGCTGGCACCATATAATTGAAAAACCAAAATAAGGGATTTAATAAGAGAATTTAAAAAAAAAGTAAATAGTATAAAATTAAGAAATATGATGAATGAAAAGGGATGAGGTTAAGACTTTTTTGATTTAAAAAATATATTTATAAAAAATCCGAATTATTTCAACATTTAAGCAGGGACCCGAACCGTTATTTATAACGGTTCAGTTTGGTTACGGTTCAGTATATAAAAAATTATAATGGTTACGTTTTGGTTACGGTTCTTGAGAAGGAATTTATATAAAGGTTCCGTTCGGTTCAGCTAATTATAAAGGTTCATTACAGTTAGAAATTTTTTTTTATTGAAGCAACACCATCTTCTAATTTATTTTTATTATAAGCATTTATGAATTATATATAAAAAAAATATATAAGATTCAAAATAACTCATTTTTAAATATATTATTTGAACTTATAAGTAATATATTTTCAAGTATAAATGGATTCCTTTTTGTTCGTTGTGACGATAACACAAAAAGCCATTTCTACAGAAATTTGTGTTGCGGGAACCGCAGTACTATAAGAGCACGTTTATATAATTCTGGATATTCAAATTATTTCCATTTCTATATAAAAACTGAACCGGTTTAACCGTTTTTTATAAAGGTTCTTTTTACTCCTTCAAAAAATAATTATATCGGTTCGGTTACGGTTATGGTTCAGATATTTATAACAAAAATAAATTTTTTTAAAAAAAATATTTAAAGGGATTCGGAATCTTTTTTTTAAAAAATTTAATTAAATTTTATTTTCACCAGAAAATTTTATTTTTTAGAGATAATTATTATGTATT